GTAAACTATAAAGGATTCCATTTGTATAAATTCAAAAGAGTTGGTGAATTTGGGTTGCCACTGTCAAAACTATAACTAATTGTAGTAATTATGGAAACAACACAACTTAAAATTTAATTCATTCATAGAATTTCTCTGTCTTGTCTGTGATATATTTTTTAAGTCTACTGAAGTACTTAAGTACCTTCTATTACAAACCTATAAAGTGAGCATTTGTTTTAAAAAGTAGAGCTTGTAATTTGTATTTTTCTTGAGGATGTCAACCTGATCAAAAAACAAAACAAACAAAATACCTGTTACATTAACTTAACCAAGGTTGCACTGTACATCATTAGTTTAATAACCATAGTCTAGAATTGCTCTCCTCTTCTTAGCTACTTATGAAAAACATACTTCTAAGACCTCAGCCAAGGGCTCTATTTATATTCTGTCCAGCTTAGAATGAGTCACTCTGATTTCGAGTTCTTACAGTATTTTCCACATTTTTTAAAAACATTTTTGGCCATAGGGCACATGTGTTTGCCGGGGGGGGAGGGGGGAGAAAGAATGTGAGAGATCACTCGTCAGGGGGATAGCCATGCCACAATCCCTCCTCCTACATTCTTTTCTCAGAATTTTGGGCTTGCACACACGTGCACCTAAGTGATTTTCAAGCTGCCAGGTCCGAGACTCAAACTGTGGTCAAACATGTAGGAGTCCAACTTTTTAACCATCACACCATCTACTGGCCCCAGTGTTTTCCAAATTTTAGCTGAAATCATCACAGTTTTTGCCACAGAGGTTTTTACTAAAATCACTGAACCAATTTAATTGATTTCTAGAAAATATCCCTAAGCAACAATATTCATCAAACACTGAGTTTTATATATTAACTTTATTTTCTCTAATATTCATTATAATAATTCCTACTAAAATTAGCTCATCTATCACCAGCAGTTTGAGTACTGGTCTTTCAGTTAACACTGCTAAAGTGCACTGTGCTGAACATTTATTCAATTCTAACTTACATCGTATGAATTAAATTTTTTCTTGTTGAAAAGAAATGGGATTTATAGCTACTTATAATCTTTTTGTTATCTAGACTCTCGGTTGTCATAGAAATATTATTAATGTTCTCTTACTTTGACCCCTGTGTATTCTCTGAAATTCCCTGATTTATTTACCAAACCTGTGGATCAAGACTGCACTTTAACACACTAAAATTTCAATACCTAGAAAATGTGGTTCCTCTCAGGTTACCAGTAAACTGAAGAAAAAATATAATGTGTGCTGTGACTTTGTGAAGAAAGGTTGATTGTGGATGGATTAGGTAGTAGTCATTTTAGTCTATGAAATGCTTTACTTTTTAAGTTGGTAAGATAAAATAGTTCATGTCTATGTGGAAGTAAGTAAAGTAAATAATTATTGTACGTTACTTACTCCTTCAGGGCCACTGTAAGTATCATGATCTAGGTTTATTTCATTCTTTACCATCATATTTATGAGTGAGATATTTACTTTCTAAAAATGACAAATGGGGGCAAAAAAAGCATCAAGAAAAATAGTAATAATTTGAAAAAATACTTTTTAAAAACTAATAACTACATCAAAACTTCTGTTTATCAAATTTTTATGGATAAAATGAGATCCAAATGGCAAATTAGAAATTATACTTTAAAAATATAAAAAGGAGTAAGTTAATATGTCAGCATGAAAAAAAAAATCCATTAGATTTGCATTCTTTTGCATCTTAACAATGTTGCCATCAACAGATGACTTAATTTTTACCATTTAAAAAGTGATTAGCATGTTTATACTAATACAAGGTACTACTACTCACTGATGTCATAGCGGTGAACAAGCCAGCTGTAGTAGCATATGGAATATGGAATATGCTAAAAATTATTATGTTTTAATTAAAAGAATTAGAAGAAAAGAAAACTCAGAAAATAATTCTAAAAATGACTAACATTTAAGATATGAGCAAAATATACAGAAGCCTGAAAATCTGAGAGGAATCTAAGGAAGAAATAAGAAGTGGAGCCAGCAGGTGGCATGGTGTTTAAGGACACTGGACTCCCACATAAATGACCATGGTTCTAGTCCTGGACCTGGTGGCTTGCTTTCTCACTTTCCCTTTCTCTCTCTCTCATTCTGTCCCTCTATGGACAAATTTAAATAACTAACTAAATAAATAAATAAAGTTAAATAATAAAATAATTCTTTTTTTTTTTTCCTTTTTTGGGAGAGATTTTTGCTATAGGGTGCGTGCGCTCGCCAGACAGACAGAGAAAGACAGAGAGACAGAAAGCGAGAAATCACCCCCCAGGGGGGATGGCCATGCTGCAATCCCTACTCCTCCATTCTCCTCTCGGGATCTTGGGCATGCCCGCACACGTGCCTGGCGTGAGTTTAAGCCACCGGGTCTGGGACTCGAACCATGGTCGCCAACATGGGAGTCCAGCAACATAGTCATTACGCCAACTGCTGGTCCCCAATAATAAAATAATTCTTAAAAAAAGAAGTAAGGATAAAAATAAGTAACATATGATAACAAAGAATAAGGATAAAAAAGTGTTCAAGGAGCAATTGATTCATAGTGGCAAATGCTATTAGGAAATTAAATATGATAAAGTTTAGAATATACATTGACTTAAGCAATGAGGATTCACTGGTGACATGGCAGGGAAAGAAACAGTAGTGGAATCATAAATCAAAGGTCAATAGGATGAAGGAAAAATAAAAATGAGAAACTGAGGTGTTGGAGTTTTCTTTTTTTTTTTTCATGACTTTGTGGTTGAGTAAAGATAAGTGAACAGTGATCAAGGATTTTTGGTTTTGTTTTTAATTTAACCAGAAAGCATGTACATTCACTGGAGAGAGACAGAGATACACAGAGAGAAAAGCACTCATGACTAATGGGGAATGGTCATGCTCCAATCCCTTTTCTTCTATCTCTTCCTCCTTTGTGGCTTTTAGACATGCATGCACACAACAACATCCAGCATGTTTCTCTGATTTCTTGTTTTTTTTTTTGTTGTTGTTGTTTTAAATTTAATTTCTTTCTAATAGGCATGACAGTTTTGAGTATATTTACAATAGTATAAACTAGTCAGTAAATATCATGGGTTGGGAGGGGGATTGAGTTCAGAGATATTGGAATTGGAATGATCATGGATTCTAAATGAATAGGTTCATTCATATGAAATTACCTTTCCTGAGGATATGAATGTGTTCAGTAGCCATGTTGGTTCAATATCAAGAGGCTGAAAAAATTTTTATCTAAATAACCAGTCACATCTCTTTGTAGTAGTAGAAAGATAACAGGGCAGGTAATTAACTGGAAATTTGAGGAGACTGGAGGAGTTGAAATAGTCCTTGTAAAAAGTAGACTTAAGGGAATGGAGGAATGGTGGGCAGAATTGGGAGCTCGAATATAGAGGCATCTCTTATGTGAGGTTTTCTGTACTATTCCTCATTGGTCTTGACAGAGGTGAGCCATTTTTTAGACAGTTGTAGTCTCCCTAGATTTTGCCAGTATAAATGATGAAAGATATGAGACAAGAAAATTTAGTGGATTTCAAGAGATCATTAAAAATGTGTCTACATGATGAACTTAAGGATCATAAGATAAACAAAGATGTGAGTTGTGTGTGTGTATGTGTGTGTGTGTGTGTGTGTGTGTGTGTGTGTTAAGGGTGGCTGCTGATAGGTATGAGGATCTCAAAGATTAGAAGAGTCAGTGGAAAAAAAAGAAAAAGAAAAAAGTCTGAATGTATTAGAAGTAACGAAGATTGTTAAGAAGAAAGGTTAGAACAGTGATAGAAGTCTAAACTTATGATTCAGAGAGAGTAATAATTCAAAGTCATGACAAAGTCCAGGGTGTGGTCATGACATTAATATTTGAGTAGAAGATTATAGAGATGAAAAGATTAGAAAATAAATGACTAGAAAGTTGAACACCGAGCAGAAAGTTGAACACTGAGCAGAAGCAGGAGTAGAAAAGGAAGACAGGAAGACAAGTGTGAGTTTTCATGAATGGCGGGCATAACCATGGGGTCTGTAAGGACAACAATAAGGAAGGAAGTAGGATGGATAGTAAAATTGTGTGAACCTCAAAGGAACAGGGTAGTTTTCTAAGGGTGTAGAGACCAAACGTTCAAAGAGGACAAAGACCTAATCTTCAATCATCAAGTATCTTGAGTTAGGAGAATGAAAAACCCTTATTAGAGCGGTTGGCAGGTGACATGGTGCTTAAGGGTGCTGGACTCCCACGTGGCCGACCGTGGTTCAAGTTCCAGACTTGGTGGCTTGCTTTCTCAATTTCTCTCTTTCTCTATCTCTGTCCCTCTCTGGTAAAATTTAAATAAATAAATAATAAAATAAAATAAAGTTCAATAAAAATAACTCTTTCAAAGAAAACATCCTTATTAGAGAGGGCTATAAAGGTGTGTCCTAGGGGGAAAGAACTATATTTCTATTATCCAGTGGTATGGGGAATAGCTGTGGGAAAAAATATTAGGATAAAGAGTAGTTGTTAGTCCTGGGATAGCATTTCAGAAACTATGAAAATGTTCATTCAGAAAGGAACTGACCCTAAGGAAACAATTTTGAATGTGTGCAAAAATTAGCCAGAGGGATGTCTGTTATTACAGATAATAGTGTTCAGAACAATTAACAAATGCAGTACTAACCTTTATGTGTGTCAATTTTACCAAAATGGAAATATTTTTAAAGTAGAGTACAGTTAAATGAAAGATTATCATGACATTTTCATGTAAAAATACTTAATTATAGGTCAACACAATACTTAATTATCGGTTTATACAGATGTAAATATACATCTCTTTTTAACTCTTATTTTAAAATATACAGGATTAAAACAAGAAAATGTGAATACATATGTACATATTGTATGTGTACATGTGTGTACATACATGTTCTGATAAAGCTTTAATTGCAATTTTAAACTTGGAATTATGCTATCTAAAGAATATTACTGTCATTCATTTTGGGGCTACCTTTCTTTATATTGTTTTACATCTAATCCTAGTTCTGCTTTGATAGTGCTGAAGTCCTAGAACCCAAGAACTATAACAGAAGGTAAGAGAAGCCTCTAATTTAAAAGACAAATTTTGTTTCCAAATTAAAATCATTAGACTTTGTTTTCTACATTTGTATGTACTCACTTGACAAACCCATTTTATGCTTATTGTTATCAAATTTGACTTTAACAGTCAATGTGAGGAATAACATTTACTGATGAGTGTTATTTTGTGAAAAGAGGCTCTAGTTTTTCTGTGAAGCAAAGAAAACTGTAGAGTCAGTGCCTGGCTCCATGATGCCATGATAGTACATCGTTCAGGAGAGGCTGGATTCCACATGGCAACTGTGCAAGTGTTCATGATCCAACAGACTGGAGTACTAGAGGAAAGGGATGGTGGCAGACCTTGTGAAGGGTACTACTCATCTCTCTCTCTCTCCTGTTCTCAAGTGCACATGCACACACGCTACCATTAGTAAAGAAAATAAAAGGGGACGCAGCAGGTGGCATAGTGGTTAAGGCTCTGGACTCGACTGTGATTCAAATCACAGAACCAGCACCTTGAAACTCACTCCAGGCACATGTGTATGTGTGCCCAAGATGCCAAGAGGAGAATAGAGGAAAAGGGATTATGGCATGACTATTACCCTTGTGAGGAGTGATTTCTCACTTTCTGTCTCTGTCTCTGTGTCTCTGGCAAGCATATGCTCCCTATAAGCAAGAATCTCTCAGAAAAGAAAGAAAGAAAAAAAGGAAGGAAGGAAGGAAGAAAGAAAGAACAATAAGAGAAGAGAAATTTAAAACTATTCAGAACATTATAGTAGGAATGAAATAATGTGAGGAACCTATTTTGGAATTACTCTTTTTTTTAATGTTTAAGAGAGATTTTTTTGCTCTAGGGCACATGTGCTCACTGGAGAGACAGAGACAGAAAGTGAGAAATCAACACCCAGGGGAATGGCCATGCCACAATTCCTTCTCCTTCATTCTCTCAGGATTTTGAGCATACATGCACATGCAGCTGGCATGAGTTTTAAGCCACTGGGTCTGGGACTCAAACCATGGTCTACTGTGTGCGAGTCCAGTGATGTAACCGTTACAACCTCTGCTGGTCCCTCATTTCTTTTTTTAAGGAAAGAAAATAAGTGTAAATACTGTACGTGTATTTATAATTATTTACACCACTGTATCTAAACACAGAGTGGTATCCTAGAAAAGGAAACAAAATATTTCCATATAAAAAGTAGTGTTGAAAGATGGTATGAAATTAATTTCAATCAATGATGATTCAGGGCCAGATGGTTGTGAGGTGGTAATTCAGCTGGTCACACATGGTCCTGAGTTCATGTCGCCAGGCCTCCCTGTACTCCCCAGTAAGTAGGGCTGAGGATGAATTTTGGTGTGAAAACTCCACTGGAACTGTCTGTCTCTTCATCTCTCTCTCTATCTCATGGAAGATATAAATAAGTAAAATTTTTTAAAATGGAAAAGACCCAAACAACTGAGATCCGATGGATTACTAGTTGAAATTAATTTGAAGAATGTTTGAAGTTTCAACTAACATATACATGCCGAACATTCTACTAGGTATATAACAAAACTTCTACTCAGATATACAAGATATATTTCCTAAATGTTACTTACAGGTGATAAAAGCAAATAAATAAAGATCTGTTCATGTATTCAAAATGGGGAAAACCATCAAAAGCACTGGGATAATTACACTGAGGTACTGATCATCAATGGAAAGAGTAGAGGTGGCTTCTTAACTTTTTTAAAAATTTTACTATAGGGTGAGTGTGCTTGCCAGAGAGAGACGGGATGTTGAATGGATGGGGAGTGAAGAAGCAATCTCCCTACCCCCAGGAAGGACAGCCAGACCACAGTACTTTCTCCTCCACTGTCCTCTCAGGATTTTTGGCATGTACACGCATGCACCTGGTGTGTTTTTCCAGTCACCAGGTCTGAGACTTGCACCGCACAGATGGCCTTGTGGGCTCCAGCTGCCTTAACCTCCACACTACCTGGCTGGCATGAGATGGCTTTCTCTTTTTTATAAAATAATTCTTTTATTTAATTTTATATATTACTATTATTATTAGGCACATGTGCTCACCAGAGAGAGACAAACAGAGAGAGAGAAAGTGAAAAAGCAAGCCTCCAGGGTCCAGGACTCTAACTTCAGTCACCACATGGGAGTCTGGCACCCTTAACTGTCATACAACCTGCCAGCTCCCCCTACCCCACCCACCCAGATGGCTGTTTAATGATACTTTCTCTTCCCATCTCATCCTGACAACCTCACTCCTCACTTCCCTGTAAGCCACAAAAATCAAGGAAAATCCAGTACTACAAGAATAGATAAAATAGGTTGGGTAATTTGAGTAGATTGCGACTATAGAATTTTCAAGGACTTTGGACAAGGAAGGGACCATTTAAAAAATTATGGTAATAGAAGCAATAGAAATAAGGAAACCTAAATGGTTTCTTGACGTATTGACCGTATGTAGGTCTTTTGATTTCCCCATTTTTATTTCACTCTGTCTTCCCTGTCTCTCTACTTTTAAATCAATTACATTTGTCTCTTTACCTTTCTGGTAGATTTCCTTTTCTTTAAACCAGTTCTGATACAGAAATGGCATTTACATAAACCTTATAGCATGTATGTGCTTGCCAGAGAGAGAGAGGAAGTAAGAAATCAACCCCCAGGGAGGGATGGCCATATCACAATCCCTCCTCCTCCTGTCTCCTCTTAGAATTTTGGGCACACACACACACAAGAGCTGCTGGGTCTGGAACTCAGACCATGCCCAGTCGGCCATGTGGAAATCATCACCTTAACCTCCATGCTACCTCCTGGCCCAATAACCTTGTTTCTATTACAGTCCATCTTAAAACTAAATTCTGGCCCAGCTTTGCTGGCCATAGTCGATAGCATACTGGACTACAGTGTTGGTAGGCTACATGCCTGATTGTGCGTTCAAATCTCAGATCAGTTAGGTGAAATGTGCTGGGCATAGGAGGGCATGTGCTAGATCCTGACTGTGTTAGGGCTGGAGGAAGGAGATCCCTATGTTTTCATATCTCTGTTGAGAGTGCTTCTCTTTTTCTTTCTCTCTCACTAGTACATGCATATACTTTTATTATGAAATTAAAAAGTAAATTTTAAAAATAAATAAATTCTGTGATTCAGTTCTGGAAATAAAATAAATTAAGTATTGAAAGTTTATGTTTATTTTGTTTTGCCTTTTAATAACCCAAATCTTAATTTGTGGCTCTAAGTTGAGTAGGTAGAAAACATTTTGAATGATTGTAAAAATTAAATATTAGGGAAATTGTAGTTTAGAGGGACCAGCAGTTAGCATAATGGCTATGTCGCTGGACTCCCATGTAGCCGACTGCGGTTCACGCCCCGCATCCAGTGGCTTAAAACTCACGCCGGGCATGTGTGCATGCGTGCCCAAGATCCCGAGAGGAGAATGGAGGAGAAGGGATTGCAGCGTGGCCATCCCCCCTGGGGAGTGATTTCTTGCTTTCTATCTCTCTGTCTCTCTCTGCCTGTCTGGCAAGCGCACGTACCCTATAGCAAAAACCTCTCCAAAAAAAAAAAAATTGTAGTTTAGAAATCTTCAAGTGTTTAAATGAATTTTATAAGCAAATATCTAATTATTATCAATGTAGAAAAAATGCAACTCTGGTTAAACACCATTAGAAAAGCATTTGTAATTTCCTCATTTTCTTGAGTAATTTGTACTAATTGACATCATATTTACACATGAAGAATTAATGTCAACAATGTCAAAAATGTAGAAAAATACAAATGATTCAGACAAGGGAGTGGGCACTAAAACATGTTTAAGATTTATTTTCTATAGACTTTCTTTTAAATATTAACATATAAAAATCTTAAGCTCATTTGTTTTTTTTTCATATTCTTATGTACAAACTTTTCTTACGTTGTTCTTTAATTTTTTTCTTTTAAAAGGCAAATAATTTCTCAAAGGACATTGAAATTCTTATTCATGTTTTGGACTTTTAGTTGTATTTATTAATTTCAGAATAGGAATTAAAATACACCTTAACTATTTCCTCTTTTTTCAATGTATCAATTAAATGCATAGTTTAGGAAGATCACACATAGCATTTACATAGTCTAAACTCTGGACTGAGGGGGAAAAATACTTCCTTCATTTTCCCATTCTTCTCCTAAAAATTTATATAGTTTCACTTCAAGCTCTCTGGTTTTTCCTCCCTCTCTCTGTGATTGTTTTCATTCCAATTAAAATCCAACATGTTAAACTTTTAAAATCCTAAATATAGATTCATTAGCATAAAATCCTGAAATAAAGAGTATTATTATTTTGTTTCTATTTTCTCCAACAAAAGTAAAGAAAAAAATAAGATTCTCAATTCAGAATAATTTCCAATTTGTGTTTTGAACCACAAATATGAAACAAATCTTTCAAACATGAAATGAAATTCGACTTACCGATACATCATACACAGTGGAGAATGCAAACTCCTTCACCTTCTTCACCTCCGCGCTGCTTTGTGATTTCGTGTCAAATGAGTAGTATCTTGAGCATTCTTTCGGATTTGTAAGCTGACTAAAGTAAGAATACTTAAGGATTTAAAAGAAACAAGTTTAACAAGTTGGGATGGGTAAACTTAACCAATAATATGGTTTGAGGTGAAGAATCACTTGATAAGTCTTTGTTGCGGGAAGTAAGAATTTCCTGGTTCTGGCTAATTAAAATTAAGTGAGAAACAATATCGAGTCCCAAACTTAAGCAATACCCTTTGATACCTTGAGAAGTTTTATATTTGTTTTTCAAGAGGTGACTCTCTTCGTTCTGAGTCAGTACAAGTCATTCTCAGGCCCTGCCATTCATTTTTCAGAGGCAAGCCTGCAACAGTTCTGTTTTCATTAAGCATTTGACGGTCCTTGATTTGCTATTTCTTAGTGCAGTGGTACAGTGCTCATTATAGCTGACACAGTAAACCATTGGTGTTCACTGTTAAGAAGGATTCAGCCTTAAGGTTGGAAAATTATTATAAAATATATTTTGAACTTCCATTTTAAAGGGATTTACCAGCTGATCATCTCTTGAAAATATTTGTGTGCCCTATTTTTGTTAGCTTTTTATTGTTTATTTATTTGCCATAGGGCACATGCACTTGCTGGAGAGACAGTGAGAGGGAAGAGGGGAAGTGAGAAATCATCCTTCAGTGAGGATGGCCATGTCCCAATCCCTTATCCTCCATTATCCTGGGATTTTGAGCATGCACACATATGTGCCCATTTTGATTTTCAAGCCGCCATATCCGGGACTCAGACCATGATCAGCCATGTGGGAGTCCAGTGCCTTAACCACCACATCACCTGCTGGTTTCCTGTGTGTTCTATGTTTAATGACACTGGTCTCATGGGCTCTACTTGTTAGTTATATTCTCATTTACATTTTTGACTTGCCAAGTTCCCTTTTCTGTCAATTTAATCTTTTCTCCATCATTGAGTCTGCCTCATATCTTTAAAATATCTTTTCCCTTCTTTATAGTACAGTTCTCCATTCAAACCCCACATCACTGTAAGACTCAGCTCATTTAATTAGAATCTACCAATGCAGGATCCATAGATTTTGAAAGCCTGTAATCCAGCTTTTCCTTCAGAATGTTTTTTGCTATAGGGCACGTGCACTCACCAGAAAGGCAGAGAGAGACAGAGAGAAAGAAAGCAGGAAATCACGCCCCCCCCCCCGGGAGGATGGCCACACCGCAATCCCTTCTCCTCCACTCTCCTCTCAGGATCTTGGGCATGCACACACACACGCCTGGCATGAGTTTAAGCCACCGGGTCCAGGATGTGAACCGCGGGCGGCTACATGGGAGTCTAGCGACATAGCCGTTATGCTAACTGCTGGTCCCATTCAGAATGGTTTACTCTGATTTCCCCAGCTCCCACACTACTTAGAACAACTCTTGACCCACACCTTCTCCTCAAGTGGGCTTCTAGTTTTAGTTTTTCTTATTTTTGGATTTATAGAAGACCCATTTCTCAGTGAGTGATTTGAGGTTCAAAACTGTGATGCCTTTAAATGCGCTGACCAGCAAGTCCTCTGCAAATACTATTCTTAGTACTTACTGAGTCTTTCATCAGTTTGACAATGAACATTCCTATTTATTTATTTATTTAGGATTTTTCCCATAGGGTCTGTATGCTCACCAGAGAGATAGAGAGAGGGAAAGTGAGAATCATCTCTTGGGGGGATGGTCATGCCACAGTTACTTCTCCTTCATTCCCTCTCAGAATTTAGGGCATGCACATACATGCACCCAGCATGATTTTCAAGCTTCTAGGTCCAGGACTCAAACCTCAGTCAACCACGTGGGAATCTAGCACCTTAAGCTCAATGCCTCCTGCTGTCCTCCCACCCTCATTTATTTTTCCACCTAATTTTGAAAAAAAGAAAAAAAAATCTTTGGCAAAAGAAGGAAATGTGTTAATTATGATTAATAAATGCACATACAATGGCTTATTAAAACAAAAATTGATTTCTCACGGTTCTAGAGGCTGGGAAATCCAAGATGAAGATGCCAATGAATTCAGTGTTTTGGTAAATAGACAGACCTTCTCACTGAGTCCTCACATGTTAAAAAGGGTAATGCGCCTTTGTGGAGCCTCTTTTCTGAGGAATACTGTCATGATCTAAGCCCCTCTTCCACCTCTTATATCCCTGACCATTTTGTAAAACCCTTATATTGGAAAATGTCCAATCTGATAAACAAATAAAAATTGTGTACCTTTGTCAGTTTTCCATTACTATGTAACACATTACCACAAATTTAGCATCTTAATACAACACTCACATATTACTCACTTCTATCCTGTAAATCAGAAGTCTGGTGAGCTCAACTTTGTTCTCTGCTTAGGGCCTCTAAGGTTGAAAAGCAAGGTGTGTGCCTGGCTGGGCCTTTACCTGGAGACTGTGGTGATGAATCACTTCCGTGCGCATTCAGTCTACTGGCAGAATTCAGTTCCTTGCAGGAATCCCTATTTCCTTGCTTACTATGAGTCTGGGCTGCCCTTGGCTTCTAGAGACTGCGCATATTCCTTGACACATGACCCCCTCTGTCTTTAGGTCATCCCACACTTGGAATCCGACTATTCTGCTACTAGGAAGAAAATATTGACTTCTAAATGCTTCATTTTTGACACATTAAACTTGCCCACTTGGATCTAACTGATTAGCAACTACTATAGTTTGAATGTTTGTGTCTTTCCAAAGTTTGTACTTTGAAAACTTAATCTCCAAAATGATAATATAAAAAGTGGACTTTGAGAGGTGGTTGGATCAGGACAGTGCATTCCTTAGAAGAGAGGCCCCAGAAAGGTGCATTACCATTTCTCTCATGTGAGGACACAGTGAGAAGGTCTATGTCTATTTACCAAACGCTGTCATTGGCATCTTGATCTTGAATTTCCCAGCCTCTAGAACTGTGAGAAATAAATTTTTGTTTTTATAAGCCACCCAGTTTAAGGTATTTTTGTAATGGCAGACTAAGCAGACTAAGATAGTAATCTTAATCATATCTATAAAACCTCTTTTGCTGGGACCGGCAAGTGGCATGGTGGTTAAAGGCGCTGGACTCCCACATGGCCAACCACGGTTCAAGTCTTGGACCTGGTGGCTTGCTTTCTCACTTCCTCTCTCTCTCTCTGTCTCTCTCTGATCAAACTGGAAAATAATAATGATAATAATAATAAATAAAGTTAAATAAAATAATTCTTTAAAAAAATCTCTTTTGCTATGGAATATAACATAGGTTATCTATGATGATATCTCATCATATTAACAATAGGATTAGGTCAGCTCTTAGAGGACCATTTTAGAATTCCATCTTCCGTTAATACCAAAATGAAATATTATTTTTATGCTTTAAACTATATATTTAATAATGTTAGCCAATTTTAGTGAAAATTTGACATTTGCATATTTTCACAATATGGCAAATTGTAAGTTATAAAAAACAAACTTGCTTAAAGTGATAAGGAGGGAAGAGCATCTATGCGCCAGGATTTGTGGGTGCATGAGACATCACAGTGTGCTTAGTTCACTGCAAATACTTTTTTGAAATGAAGAATGAATGTGGTGAAAGGGAAGAAGCCAAAATGGGAGATTTAAATAGAAAACAGGAAAATGTTCTTATACATGAAATTCTTGTACCCCCAGAAACTAGGTTCTGGGGACTAGATGGAGTGGGCAACCTGAAAAGGTAAAAACAAAGTGACAAATCCAGTTAAACCCAGACTTTTGTAAGGAGATAAGGGAATAGTGTGGAAGAAGTTGAAGGTATAATACAAAGGAGTGAGGAGGAAGGAGAAGAAAGGGCAGTATGGAGAGAAGGGAAAGAATCTACATACATTATGAGAAAGAATCAAAGGAAAGGAACGAGATAGTCACAGAGGTATTATTGACTGCAGTGCTGGAAGGTTCATGGAGGTAGGAAGGGGAGGGCACTATACTTTATGGTTCCTGAATCTGGTATCAAATTGAATTGATAGTTATAGCCTAATGTTCTGGGCAAGATCACCGTGGCATACTGTTTGGTATATCAACTCAAAGGTAGCTGTTATAACTGATGATTATATAAAAAATATAATCTTTCTCTCTGTATCTACATATGTAGATATAGATATAGATATAGATATCTAGATATAGATAATATATACAGATAGATATAATATAGCTAGATATCTATATATCTAGATAGATATCTAAATATATATATAGATATCTATATCTATTTTCTGATGAACCAATATAATCTATATGTATATCTATATATCTATATATAATATAGTCTTTCTGTATATATAATCAATATGTATGTATTGATTGTGTGATATATATATAGATATCTATAGATATCTATACTTATATATAGATATCTATACTTATATATAGATACGTCTAGATACTTACATATATATATCTAGATATCTATAGATATCTATAGATATCTAGATATATATATCACACAATATATACTTATCTATATATAAGTATAGATATCTATATATAAGTATAGATATCTATAGATATCTATATATATATCACACATACAATACATACATATTGATTATATATACAGAAAGACTATAATATATATAGATATATAGATATACATATAGATTATATTGGTTCATCAGAAAACTCATGACTTTTTTATGTTTTTCTATGCAAAAATGTGTCATGACTTTTCAGATAACCCAGTATTATGTCAATTTAGAAATATATATTTGAATAGAATATATATAGAAGGATAGCTCTGTTTAGTTGGTGCAATTATATGCTTTCTCCCCCCTTCAGTAAGTCTTTTTTGTAATATTTTTTTAAAAAAATAAAGAAATAGGAAGTAAACAGATCATTTATCTCTTGCTTTTCAAAAATTAACTTCCCTACTCAAGTCTAGAAATATTTTTCTTCAGTGAAACTTTTTTTTTTTTTGAGAGGTTTTTGCGTTCCCAAGAAAGACAGAGAGAAACAGAGAAAGAGAGAAACAGAGAAAGAGAAAGAGAGAAATTACCCTCCCAGAAAGGATGGCCAAGCCGCGATTCCTTCTCCTCCATTCTCCTCATGGGATCTTGGACATGGATGCCCACGTTACAGGAGTGAATTTAAGCCACCGGGCCCGGGACTTGAACTGCAGTTTACTACATGAGAATCCAGCAACATAACCACTGGCTCTGAGACTGGAACTGCAGACAGCCATGTGGGAGTTCAGCTATGTAACCATTATGCCATCTGCTGGCCCCCTAAATAAATTTTTAAAGTGCTGACTTTGGACTATTTTGGTATTTTCCCCTGTCAGCTACATAATTGCATTAATCATATTCTTTATATTTTATTATTTTAGATATTTTTTGAGAGGTTTTTGTTACAGGGTGTGTGCACTCTCCAGAGAGACAGAAAGCAAGAAATCACCCTTAGGGCGGATGGCCACACCGCAATCCCTTCTCCTCCATTATCCTCTTGGGATCTTGGGCATGCACGCACACTTTCCCAGTTTTAAATTTATTTATTTATTTTAATTTGACCAGAGAGGAACAGAGAGAGAGCGAAAGAGAGAAAGAGAAAGTGAGAAAGCAAGCTGCCAGGTCTAGAACTTGAACCTCAGTTGGCCATGTGTGAGTCCAGCACCTTAACCACCAGGTCACCTGCTGGCTTTGGTCCAAAATCTTTTATTGTACTTCATTTTAAGATACAGGGAACCAGCAGTTAGCGTAATGGCTATGTCGCTGGACTCCCACGTAGTCGACCGCGGTTCGTGTCCCGGACCCGGTGGCTTAAAACTCACACCGGGCGCGTGTGCGTGTGTGCCCAAGATCCCGAGAGGAGAATGGAGGAGAAGGGATTGCAGCGTGACCATCCCCCCTGGGGGGTGATTTCTTGCTTTCTGTCTCTATGTCTTTCTCTGTCTGTCTGGCGAGCGCACGCGCCCTACAGTGAAAATCTCTCCAAAAAAAACCCAAAAAAAACAAAAAAAAAAACAAATTTTGGGGGACCAGCCAACTGGAAAGGCTCTAGGTTTGTGTCCCCCATCTACTTCAACAAACTGGGCATATCTGTGATCCTGAATGGCTACAGGGCTTGGAAACAACATATCATGAAGATCCTATCAAGGGTGTCTCTCTCTCTCTCTCTCTCTCTCTCTTTCTCTCATGAAGAAAATAAATAACATTAAAACACACACACAAAAGTGGGCCAAGGCATGAATTTAGGGGGAGGAAACAAATGTTCTGTGTAGTATTATGACCCACCCCTTTATGTAGCTTAGCAACTTGGTCTATACTAAATCATCATTCATTTCCTTATGCATACTTGGTATAATTTTAAGTAAGTTGTCTTTATCATAAAATTGATTTGATCCAACAGTGCAATCTGGTGAACATCATTTGAGTTTAGCTACCTCACATTTTTCTACAAGGAGAAACAGTGACTTGGTGACATTTAATTCCTGGAACTTCTAGGGCTGCAACTTTTGTGACCATAGAACCTACATAACTCAGGTTAGAGTAGGAGAGAGAAAACAGAAGTGAATACAAGGGCTCCTGGCCTCTATTACTACACTGGCTATAACCCACTCTAGAACCTTGTGCAAGTTCCCTTCATCTTGATTTGCATCAATCAGAAAAGGAGGTTGTTGTACATAATCTCTTAGATCCCTCCCAGTTCTAACAGCTATGATTGTAAGCATTAATTTAAATAATTTGTAAGAGGTTTATTTCATTTCCAAGACTGCATGAAGGAATGCATCCCACATATCTGCCAAATACATACATTAATGAAGAAGTAAATCTATTCAATGGAAAGGATAGATTCATATGAATGTATTTTTTGTTGTCTGTATTTATTGTTGAGTCATGAAGATATCACTGAAAGATGGTTCACCATTGGTAAAAATTTTGGCCCAATCTTGATATAGCATTACAAAACCTTTAGTTTCCATGACATCAAAAATCCCATTAAGATCTTACAAGGATTATTTATTTCATTTTTAATTGTCAGTTTAATGGATTTAACCTGTCTTTATAATAGTGAGTCAGACAAGTTGTAGGTTTTTTCTGTGAAAAGATATGAATATTACTGTAGCATCACCACACAATCCTAATTTGGTTTTTGTTTTATGGTTTTTTGGAGAGATTTTTGCTATAGGGTGTGTGTGCTCTCCAGAAAGACAGAGAGAGACAGAGAGATAGAAAGCAAGAAACCACCTCCAGGGGGGATGGCCACATTGCAATCCCTTCTCCTCCATTCTCCTCTTGGGATCTTGGGCATGCACGCACATGTGCCCAGCGTGAGTTTATGCCACCGGGTCCAGGACTCAAACCACTGTCGACTACATGGGAGTCAAGCGACATACACATTACACCAACTGTTGGTCCTATTATGTTTTTAACCACAAATACATTTGCACAGTTCATAAAACATTTGAAAATATCAACACTGTTTTTAAAAAAGAACCAATTTATTTATGATCTTAATGCACTTCCAGGATCATCTATACCGATACCAATTTACAGTAATTTACTTTGCATTTTTTGAGCAGTTTCTAAATATTCTTGGACTTTTCCATTTTACTATTCATCAGGGAAGCCTCACAGTAATGCTATGAGGTAGGTAACTTAATGATCTAGCTGACATATGGAAAATATGAGGTACAAGATTTTGCTTGAGTCTTGTAACATCCGCAATCCCTTCAGTAGGTCAGACACCAAACAAGTGGGACACATAATCTTATTTTAAATATCTATATTTCCACTTCTGAGATTTACTTTTGTATTTATTCCTCTCCTTTGTATTAAAATGTCATTGAATTGAAATAAGCATAGAAATATTCAAATCGGTAATACATAGTTTCACAGATACTTATACACAAAAATTAGCAAAGTCTTGTGAAATATAAATAAAATTATACAAAAGCACATATGTATTCATTGTTACAGAACTTACATAGAAGAAAGAGCATTTTTTTTTAAACTGAAAGATTTGCTTTTCTAAATATATCCACCAGAGGTGTTTAGCTTAATATAAAAAAAGTTCATCATTAATCTACCTCATCTTTAATATGTTCAATGTTCTACAGGAAGGTTTAGATATTTCTGTGAAGACTGTAGAAATTTAAGTTAAGGAAGTGTAAGAATTTAAGTTTTTGCTCTTCTTTTTCTGGTGATATTTATTTATTACTAGTAATCAGCTTAGAAACTTGATGATATTTCCTGTTTAAAAAGAAAGAGTACATGGTGTGAATGACCCTTTTGTGTGTATGATTTTTTTTGGAATGTAAACAATAACAACTAGGAGATTATTTTAAGTTGAATTTATCTTATTTATGTATATTATTATATAAGCAATATATATAGACTAACAAAACTTTCAGTCATTAAATGAATGGATAGGCCAGATTTTTCTCTGATTAAAAGAGCAACAGGGCCAACCAGCTGGCATGGTGGTTGGGGCGGGTAGGTCCCACATGACTGCCTTTGGTTTGAATTCTGGACATGGGGATGGAAAATATGCCACGAGCATGTGCAAGATTGTCCAGAATCCCAAGGGGAGAATGGAGGAGAAAGGATTGCAGTGTGGCTCTCCTTGCTGGGGTGGGAGTGGAATGCTTTCTCCCGTTCTTTCTGTAGCTCTCTCTGTCTCTCTCTGGTGAGTGCCATATCCTGTAGCAAAATAATAATAATAATAATAAGAAGAAGAAGAAGAAGAAGTAAAATAAGAGCAACAAATCTAGGGCTCATGTCTGAAGTGTGGAAATAAATATATATGCATTTTTTTTCTAAAGGGATTTTTGGCTATAGGGCATGTGTGCTCACCACAGAGAGACAGAGAGAAGAAAGCGAGAAATCACCTTCCCCCTGGGAGGATGGTCTTGTTGCAATCCTTTCTCTTTCATTCTCCTCGTGGGATTTAAGCTGCTGGGTCTGGGACTCGAACTGCGGTTGGCTACGCGGGAGTCCAGCAACATAACCCATAATGCTATCTGCTGGTCCTAGATGCATTTCTGCAGTCACATCATGGTAAAAGATGATCATGGTAGATCCAGTGACTACCTGACTATAAGCAGACATAGCTCAAAATATATTAATGGGACAAAAAAGTGATTTTGAAAATCTAGTAGTATACCTAATTTTTTTACAAAACAGTTCAAATATTTTTAAAAATAAGTTAAATGGTTTTAAAGAAGCAAAGGATACTATTTAAAAAAACATACAGTAAGTTTTATTGAGTACACAGCACATTAATAATGAATGATTAACAGCAGCTAATCCATATCGAGAGCCTACATTGTACACTGTTGCAATTGCTTTGCTAGTATTAGTGCAATTAAGTCTCATAACCATATGAGGTAGTACCATTTTTATTCCTTTTATAGACATGAAAGAGCTAATAAACAGAAGTGTTACATAATTTATGCAAGGACACACAACTCATATGTGGCAGAGAAAAGTTTCGAAGTCTGTACTTCCAACCATTATGCCCACTACTAGCTGTGGGCTGTATTTAAACCCCAAAGTCATTCAGTTATTTGATGAAATTGAGTTCATTTATCTTAAAGTTTACCAAGGCATTCAGTTCCATATAGTTAACATTTATTTGGTACTTTAAATATATTCCAGACACTGTCCTAAGTGCTTTGCACTAATCAGTTCTCCCACCCTGACATTCTGATGGACATCTGATCTGTCAGAGAGCTAAAGACTTACAAAAGCACCATTTACCATATTATGCTCATGCAGATATATAAATAAATAATTGGATAGCTTATTCCATCAAAAATTTGAGTGTTTGTCTTGTTACTAATAATTTGAAACCAACTTTGCTAGCCTCTTCCCCACTTCCACCCCCGTTTTTTTTAATCCTCTTTGTACTCATGGGAAAATGTTCCGAAGAGTCTTCTTTTTTTGCTTCCTGGGGTTAACTGCAATTAATCTATGGAAGGCAAGACACTGTTAAAGAACAAATGAAAAAAACGCTTAACAACACAACATACTTTCCAAAGGTAGTGTTTGAGTGTACAACACTGTTGACAGAAAGTTCAGATACCTTTAAATCTTTTAAAACAACAACTCTTGAGGTTATTAATAATGCTCTGTATTGTTAAATATAAACCCTGTTTAAAATTCAACCTATATTACAAATCCAGTGCTTCTCCATTCTAGTCATTGAAAGTCCAATCATCAGTTCTAAAATGTTGAAGTCTTGAATCAATGACTCTCTTTGACCTTCTGCTAGAAGAATCCCAGGAACTTCAGGTGTCACATGATAAAAGATTTTTCTAGCTTTGGCAGCTCTTCACATCTTGTGAAAAACAATGTTCTCTGTCTTCCATTGGGGAAAACCACTTATAGGTTCATCACATTAAAAAGTATCACAGTTTCCCTTCTGAGTGAGGAATCAGTGCTATCTGTCCTTTGCTATGTCTCCTTTCCAGGTGGTAGAGAAAGAGTTTAGTCATATGTATACAAAGGCCACCTTATGATACTAGACTGGTTTAGTCTAACCAAAGGGTTTCTTGACATCTAGCAAAAGCACAGATCCAAACCATATCAATATCAATAGCTTGAAATACATAGGAATTTCAACTCCTAGTGCTGTGTTTATAACTTACGAACAATCCACACTAGATACCGGTCTTTGAGGCAATCCAGTCTCGATACGTAGCCACTCTTGTGTACACCCCAGGTTTTTTGGGAAGAGCACATGATTGTCCCCAGCTTACTATACCAACAATGTACCAAATGTCATGATTATCATAAACCAGTGGTCCACCAGAATCACCCTGGAATTAAAAGACAGAGTTTAAATTGTTAACTCTAAGTTAATTCAGTAGAAAAGTCATTGTAAGCATCTCTCACCAAAAAAGTGAAATTGTAACATATACTACACTGCCACACTATGAACAGATTATATAATGCTTCTTTTAATTGAGTTAAATTTTGAGCTGAATTTTAAAATGTAATTTTTTTTAGAAAGGTTAGCATTCATTTATATGGAATCGTTACATTATTTCTGGTTCAGAATTCTTGGAAACATTTTTTCTGTTTGATTCGGTACTTTATGCATGGTTTAGTAATTATGCATATAAAATGTTAGATATCAGATTATTATTTGTGGATATAAGTAGAAACATTCACTTCTGAATGTTGTTAGCTTGACTATACTTTATGGCCCTATTCTTACTCCTTTTCTTTTACTTACCTGCTTCTAATTCATGTTTTCATGTTTTATTGCTGAATTTTATATAAGATCCTTTAAATCTTTTTTGGGAACAGTAATGTTAATTATCTATAAAAATATACATGTGGAAATTTAAAAGTATGGTCTCAACAGTTGACCAGCCCAAGTTTTAGGTCCAGCTCTACTTATTACTGGCTGTGTGACCTTGGGTAAGGTACTTAGTCTTTCTATGCCTCTTCTACCTCATTCATTTATTTATTGTTTAACAACTATTTATTGAGCTTCTATTATGTGTCATAGCCATTTTGATGGCTATTGGGGATACAATGATGGCTGAAAATAAAATGTCCCTCCACTCATAGAGCTTAAAGTTCAGATTAAAAAACAAAGAAACAAAAAACAATATTGGGGACCATATGGTGGCACAATGGTAAAATGCAGCACTGTGAGGCAATCTCACATGGGAAGTTTCCTAGTTCAAGTTAAGAGAGCTTCCTGAGTACACCGGGCACAGACTTGTCCATGATCCAAGGCTGGTGAAAGGCTGGGAGTGGACTACAGCACAAGGACTCTGTTGAGGGTTCTCTTTCTTTTTCTCTTTCTTTCTCTCTCTTTCAGAGAAAATAAATATTAGGCCACCGGGAAAGTCATGGTGTATTTTTCTATGCAAAAAATGTGACTTTCCCAATGACCCAATAAATAAGCTTTTAAAAAAATATTAAATAAGTCCACAAACAAGTGCAAAATTACAACTATGGTAAGTGCTATGGAAACATACTATAGGGGAATTAGGTCAGGGGTAAAAAGAAAGCTCTTCCTGATGAAATGCAATTAAGGTGATACCCGAAGGAAGCAGAATTAACCATGAAAAGAAAAGTGGGGATGAGGGACCAGCAGTTAGCGTAATAGCTATGTCGCTGGACTCCCATGCAGTCGACCGCGGTTCGCGTCCCAGGCCCTGTGGCTTAAAACTCACGCCGGGCTCGTGTGCTTGCGTGCCCAAGATCCCGAGAGGAGAACAGCGGAGAAGGGATTGCAGCGTGACCATCCCCCCTGGGGGGTGATTTCTCGCTTTCTGTCTCTCTGTCTCTCTCTGTCTGTCTGGCAAGTGCACGCACCCTATAGCAAAAACCTCTCCAAAAAGAAAAGAAAAAAAAAAGTTGGGACGAAATGTGCTCTGGGTAGAGGAAAGAGTATTGTAAATGCTCTCTGACATGAAGGAGCCTGGCATATGTAAGGGCCTAAAAAAGGGAGAGGGTGAAGAGAAGAGAGCAATAGATCAAATCCTATGTGATGATAATGAAAAGGCAGAGAGACACAAGTCCATGTAAAGTCTTGTGAATCTTAATAAGAATTTTTGTCTTTTATCTTAAAACCAAAGATAAGTCACTGAAATGTTTTAAGAGGAGTTTGACATAGTCAGATAAACATCTTGTTAGAACTCATTCTTTCATTTGACTAATATATAAGAGAAGCGTAAGAGTGAAAATGAAGAAATCAGTGAGATGGCTGGTGTACTTGTCTGGTAGGGAATGAGAGG